AGACAAGAAACTAGAAGAAGCAAAAACCACAGTAAAAGCGAAGGTTACTTAGTGTATGAGAGCATAAAATACTGATCTCGAACCCAAAATTTCAACGCTCAAGATTTTTTCTCCTTCACCACAAACGATGTGTTGATGATTTCCTGCACCAGACGAGGCGCGTAATTGGCTCTGGCGTTTCATTTAGTACTGGGAAGTGAAACAAGACGAAGTTGCCATCGTTGCCCTCATTGAGCTGTATTTTACTTAATTAAATCTTGAGCTGTTAAATAGTCATTCAGACAGACACTTGAAAGAGCAAAGCGGTCATCCACTTTTGAAGATTTAATGTAAATATTATAAATTATTTATATGACAGAATGCTCCCAATTTTTGCATGTCGTCTCTTGATTGCACGTAGTGATTTCCAAAACTTATAACTGTCTTATTCAGCAAGATAGTTTACATAAAAAAAAATAAGTGGTGAGCGTAATAGAAGCTGTTTTGTATGGGGCCTTTGGCCTTTGCAATTAATTTTATTCTCACGAACGTATGAAAAAAATGTTGCATATAATTTATTTAACTGATGATTAAATTCACAATATATTTTATATTGACAATAGTCTGTTCTTGGCCAGCTTGTCTCGCACTATTTTATATATAATGCATAATATGTATTTTCTCGTCGTATTTGACCAATAACGAGTATTTTAAATGAATCCATTCAACCTGTTTCTGAGGGTGATGTATTGAATACATGTATCAACTAAAATATTAATATTAGTATTATTACAAGAGTACTTTTTTGTCATTAATTTAAGGAAATTGGGCAATTGTTTTTAACGTACATGATTTATAGAGCAGAACAAATAATCAGATATCCTTTACTCTGTCAGGAAATCGAGTGATTCCTCACCCAGATGATTCACTGAAATGTCTTGCTAAACATACTTCACAGACTGTAGTACCAAATTACCGCATCTTTATTCCTGCTGTCACCGGTCTGCGGTGGAGTGGAAGTCAGCTGTAGACCGTCTTCCCAATCGCCCCCAAAACCTTGCTCCCACCATTTCGCAACTGTGTTTTCATAGGTCAAATATCCCAACTTCCTGTGCATAAGGTCGGTTAGCTTCCCTTTTATTTCAAATATTTCGTTACCTGATGAAGGCAACAACAGGAATAACCGGAAATGGGTCCATTTAACTGCTTACCTTCTAGGTAGAAAAATACGTTAAACGATCGGATAGGAAAATGGGGAAGAAGGTGTACATAGTACCTTAACCTGGCTTCCTAAGATGACCAAATATTCACTACATAACTCGAAAACGTATCCACGTTTTGTTTTATTGATTTTGAGCAGCACTTGAGAAAGATAGGAACAGCAAAAATAATGATTCCCATGCCATAATACATAAATATATGTATATATATACTAAATAAATCCTTAGATTTCGTATGTTAGGCCCACATTGTACATATTAATTATAAGATTTTTTATTTTGGCTTAGAGATACTTGTATAAGCTTAGGATTACTTAAGGACAAGGAGTGCTATTTCAGACATAGAATTGGTTTAACTAGTTCAATGATTAAAACTGTTTAGTGTTGCAACGCTATTTAGAATTTCAAAAGTATATAGTATAAATGTTTTACAAACAAGCGTTCACATTAGTACGTGTCATCAATAGTAACAATTGGAACTATGATATTTGGAGGATGGTTTGTGATGTACTGTGTAGTTGTTAAGGTCAAATATAAAGCGGTGAGAGTTACTCAGGCGTTGTGAAGCTTGTAAATGCTGTGCTATAAATCGCTTAAGCATAGAACCGCCTTTAACTGCCGTTTGTAAATATTGTATTATTAAAGGATTATTTGGATTAGAAAACGTCTTGTTCAGCTGTTGGTTGTTGCCAGACCTCATTACCAACAGCTGCTCTTCGTTGGTCTTATTGTCTAGCCTCAGTGGCACAACGCAGTCCATATTCCTGTTTAGATGGCACATGTACAAATTATGGAGACCATCGTACATATATCGACGTGATGGACAATTAGAAAGTAGAATATGGTACTATTGGATTTGGACAAACCGGAAAAGGGTATGTATTTATGCTCTAATAAAACCAAACCTAACTCTGCTAGGCCTAATACATATCAGCTGAGGCCTAATAGCACATATCAATGTCATACTAGGTATAGGCATGTTTAAGTTTAATTTTTAGTTTTGTTCTTGACTCTATAAAGTGAGCAGTACCAAATTCTACTATCTATTTGTCAATTACGTCAATATATGTACGATGGTCCACATAGTTATAGAAACTACTATCTAAACAGGAGGATGGGTTGTACACCGCTGGCAAGCCTTACTGCCCACTGTGCCCAATCTCAAACAGGGATATAAACATCGAAAGGTGTACCGTGCTTCTTGGTGAATGTTTATTGAGGGATTACTGTAGTATGGGCAATGTTCAGGCAACCCATCCTCCGAATTGACAGTACGATTTAATACTAAGTGTAATAAGTACAATTTCTTACTGTCATAAACAGTGCATAATTGCACTTATGGGGATGTTACATTTAACCAACCCCCTCCCCCGATTTAATTCTCCTCGTTTACTGTTAAGACACTCAGAGTTTTAGGATGAAGTTTTCAATTTCAATTTGCAATACACAAGTTTTAAATGTCAGGATTTTTTTCAGGTTTATTAAACAATATAGATTTTATAATTTTTTAAAAATATCCTGAGTTACTTTACAATTTATTTATATATTTTAGTTTTGTTTTATTAGTTTTATAAAACTAATATCAATATAGCTATAGGTTAAGTACTAATAGTTTTTTAAGATAATTTTATTGCTTCTTAATTACAAAGACGGTTAGGTGGGGTTGTGGTTTTCTATTAACTTTTTCAGGTAAACTCAAATATTCACAATATATTTGACAGTACGATTTTAAGTGAAAAAAGGTACAATTCCTAGCTGCTATGAATAGTACATAATTGCACTTATTTGTCTTCTTACATTTACCACCCCATTTTTGGAGGACAGGCTGTACAGTGCATAATAATGATTTCTAGTTAGACTATTGTTAGAACTTTCATGAGTAATAGTATATTTACAATTTGTGTTGGCCAAATTAATTACGAATATGAACATTTATTATGTTTTTTAAAGACGTGTGTCTTGACCAACCCATCCTCCGAATTGACAGTACGTTTTAATGCTAAGTGTAATAAGTGCATTTCTCGACTGCAATACATAATACATAATTGCACTTATGGGGCTGTTATATTTATCCCTCCCCCGATTTATATCTCCTCGTTATCTGTTAGGACACTTAAAAATTTTAAAATGAAATTTTAAGGCGCAGTTGCTATAAACAAGTTTTAAATATTAGGATTTTCTTTTTCACTTTTATTAAACAATAGAGATTTTATACAAAATTTGAAAATATCCTGAGTTACTTTACAATTTATTGAAATATTTTGGTTTAGTTTTAGTTGTTTTATAGAACTGTAATATCAATATAGCTCTAGGTTAAGTAGTAGTTATAATTAAGATGCAATAAAATTCTTATCTTCAGAAAGTAAGACGGTTAGGTTAGGTCGTGGTTTTCTATTCAGCTTTTCAGGTAAACTCAAATATTCACAATATATTTGACAGTACGATTTAATACTTAGTGTAAATAGGTACAATTCTTAACTGTTATACATATTACATAATTGCATTTATGGGGCTCTGTACATTTACCTCCCCATTTTTGGAGGACGGGCTGGTCTTGACATAGTCATACATTAATTCATCTTATATTTATTATATAGGGCTCAATATTAATATAGTAGTTAACTTATTGGTGTTTCCTTCAACGATGAAACACAATTCCCCTCTCTAATTGTTGGCAATATATTTGATCAAATTATGTCATCAAATATAAGTATGAACAGTAGCAAATGCAGTAGGGGGGGGGGGGATATAGTAGAGCAATAGCAGTGGTAATCCCAGCAGGAGCAGTGGTAGTTGCAGTACCAGCTGGATCAATTGAATTTTACGTTGCCTCAACAAAAGCGGCGGAAATACCAACACAAGCAGTGGTAATGCGAGCAGAAGCGATGGTAATGCCAGCACAAGCAGTGGTATTACCAGCAGAAGTGGTGATAATACCAGCTGAAGCGGTGATAATACCAGCTGAAGCGGTGATAATACCAGCACAAGCTGTGATAATAGCAAAAGTAGTGGTAATACCAACAGAAGCAGTGGTAATACAAGTAAAAGCATTGGTAATACCAGCAGAATCGGTGGTAATACCAGTAAAAGCAGTGATAATACCAGCAGAAGAGGCATTAATGCAGGCAGAAGAAGTGATAATACCAGCAGAAGCTTCTGTAGTTGTAGCACCAACAATGGTCGTTGTAACATTGACAATGGTTGTGATAGGGGATAGCATAGTTACAATAAATAAGAGATGACCTGACGAAGAGCACTTTTAATGAATGTTGAATAAATAAATTAAATACACAAGTAAAATGATCGAGATTGAAAATATAACACAATAAATATAATGCATATTCGGGATATATATTCATATCCTGGATTTTTTCCCATATCCTAAATATATTTTTCATATTTTGGACGTATTCCATCTTGGATATATTAGGTTTATTACAGTTTCCTTCATATAATCAACTATCCTGTACATATTTTCACATGTTGGGTTTACCAGTTTTTCCTAGATATGTTCTAATTTTATCGATGTATTTCTATACCCTGGATATAATCCCATATATTTAATTTAATTCCATATCCTGGATACAAACGTTGGATATATTTTAATTTCCTGAGTATAATCTCGTATCCGGCCAATAAGCTCATTTCCTATACTGAGTTCCATTTCCTGGATATAACAGTTTCACGGGTTTAATCCCATATCCAGGAAATTACCTAAATCACCTTAATATGTCATCATATCAGCTGCTGTGCAATCAAAGCCTTGCATTATTTTTAAGAGATCAATGCAATTTTCCCAATAAATATTCCTTCAAGCACTATTATTTTACTTTTTATTAAATTTTTAAGCATAATATGAATTGGGAGTTAAAATGAAATATCTAAGTTTTTGCATTCAGTTTATCATGAATAATAATATATTTTAAAACAATCGCTCTCGAAGGCCTTAAAAACGTTACCATCAGTTTAACAAAAAATATTAGTAGTTGATGTAATAAATAGATAACAATAAATAACAAACAACTTATCACAGAATTTTCATGTTCCAAAGGATATTATTTTTTTCTAAACGCACCTTATTTTGTCGTGTATAACTTCACTGTACAAAATTTCCATAATGCATATGCATGTGTATGGTTATTTCAGGTGCATCAGAAAACTGTAACATCATTTCTGACATGAGGAAATATTTGGTATGCATAAAATGGGTTGAAAAAGAAAACATTGTCCCTTAGTACAATCTCTGACGTCTCCATAAATTTTCTTGTTTAAGTTAGATATTGTATGTGAGCCTGGATTTGAAGGCTGCATTTGTAATGTTTAAATAAATTGCGTAATGATTATATAATTTGAGAATACGGTCGAGAGAAGGTTCCGGTGTATTTATTTACACATATAAACATTATTCAATTATATCGTACTCACAATGTATGACTAAGACTTTCATAAGGTTAACATATATTTTATATTAAATTCAAATAAATAAATAGATATATTAAGTTCTGCATTAGTTTATGAATGTTAATTGTTGAAAGTTCGGATTTGCAGAATTATAAGCTAAATAAATTATAAAAATATAAATTACTACGAAACTGGACACAAAATGTTGTTTGAAGAACAGAACATGTCTGTTTTGTTCTTCCACTTAGATTTCTACATCGAATATAAACCTACAGCTGTACCAGATTTACTAGTCACGGTTTAAATATATATTGCGATATAAAGAAATATTATATATATATAATATATATACTTCAATGTTCATATTAAAATCTTATTTTCTATGTAATAATGTAAATTAATACACGTATTAATAATCCCCAATGTGCTTGAAACACAATCTTCACACTGACGCCCCCGATGACTTGAGTAGCTCCTGTAGGGCAGCAATGTATGTTTGCGCCATCTGAAGCGTCTCAAATTTGGAGAGTTTCCTGTCGCTGCCCAGGCACGGTATAACTTCACGAAGGCGGTCGAATGCATCGTTGAGCCCATGCATCCTACGACGCTCCCGAGCGTTTGCTGCAACTCTTCGGGTTTTGACCACTTCTTTACCGGGTTGGCGATGACGTCTCCGTCGTTGTGGTCGCACATAGGTCCGATGAGGAGGGACCTTCTCCTCAGGCAGCGTGTGGTGGGATGTATCCTGAACTGGGTCCAAATTCAGATCTTTATAAGGGAGAGGATTTGGAACTTTTTCTATCGTTGCGTTGAAATCACAACCTTGATTATACTGGTGAGGATAAACAGGTGTGTCAGGAAAAGCCGCATCGCCCGGCCCTCCGCCGTGGTAACTTGGGTATTGGGCCACATCGTAGACGCACGGGGAATCTAACAATGTTAGTTCATACTTATCTCCGTCTACACGAGCCGTGCTGTCGCCATGGGTGACATTTCCTTGCCTGGAATTGGGCAAGATGTCCTCGTACTGTGTCTTTGAACCCCTATATGCCACACTGGGGTATCCCGCCTCTTCCAAGTAGAAATAGTCCTCCATGGCAGGTGGTCAAGGGGCACATCACTACACAGGAACGCCAGATTACCCGCAGGGAGTTTGCACCAGTTCACCCCAGCAACTACGGAAACATCGGACAGCCTCGAGGAGACTACTTCCTCTCCAGCGAAGCCACGGTGCATTCGCTCCCATTCTCCCTCCCTCTCTCTTGTATCACTTAGTTTTCTTCGTCCTCTATATTGTTATATATGTTTACAGTTACATTCCTATGTATATGGTACAGGAAAGATGACTTTCGATTTCACTGGAGAAGGTTCTGTAGTTCCATGGCAGCGCACAGCCCGATTGGCGACGAACTTGTGAGGCAGCCGCTTCTCACTCTCAAGCAACTTTTCATACGTCATCAGCTACTATCAGAATTCTTCGTACACTGCACTAAAAATACAATATACTTAATTATCTTTAGTACCTGAGAAGTATACGCTGATTATAATAGTTTAATAGTTACCTGAAAATATATTTTGTCAGTAATAACTAAACTATGTACAGTGAAGAGGAGAAGTTAAACTAAAAGCGAACGGGGAAGCCGAGGCGCATGCGCAGAGTCACACTGTACCATATGGCTGCGTCACGTGACCAGATAGAGCCAATCAGAATCGCTTGAAGTGAATAACGGTAAAGTCTCTTGTAAAAACCGACTCGTAGTTTAACATGTGTTGTTAGTTAGCATAGTGAACAAAATATTCCTTTACAAGCGGAACCAAGGATCTGTGATTCTGGCGTCTCCTAAGGGAAGGAGAGGCCGCCAATTGGTCACACCCTATCACACCTGTACACAGTCCACTTTATACCCTATTACCTGTGCACCGTTCTGCTTGTGCTCATGTGTGAACAGGTAATTTATATATAAACATATGTTTATACACCAGCGGAACTGTACATTATTAGCATACGAGTATTTAAGTCTATTTACGTGTACTGAATAGATATAATATACAAATAAAGCTTGTTTGTTTACCTACTCATCTGAGAATAATATTTATCCAAGTCTAAGTAACCATCAAATTGTACAGTTCAGCATTCATACGTCATCGCATGAAAGAAGCAGCGTACTTTTGAAATTGGTAATCACTAAAACATGTTCTCAGTGTACCATCCCACAAAGTTACATGAACGTCACCCATCCACAGTAAACAACAACTTACCACATAAACAAAACCTGTACAGGTTTATTAGAATATCTTTGTACTAGGAATATTGATCGCTAACTTAATGCTCCTATTGTTGTGGGTTGTGTTTTAATATAACAGATACAAGCAAATGTATATCCTTAAGGAAAGATTTATTGGGCTATTGTGGATGTGTTTGGGCTATTCTGGGAATATTTGTAATATGATTTTATTGGATATAACCACAACGCCTCTAAAAAATTATATTACAAATTAACCATGTACAGTGAACATAAAAAAGAAGAAAGGATAATGAAAGAAATAATCCGTAAAGGAGTAAAAAGCACAACTCCTAACCAAAACATAGATTTAATTGTATTCTATAAAACAAAGAAGACTACTGACTTCCTCATTAAAAACAGAAAGAAGCCAACGGAGAACCCTTTACAGAATATATTATTTTTTACATTTTTTTATCTTTACCCAAAATATTAATTATCGTAATTAATCACACCGTTAATAACCGATATTCACTGAATAAGAACCCACGAGCTATATGAAATAAAAAAATAATAGATAATGGGTAAAATAAGTGTTAATGGATAATAAAATGATAGATAATAATATAAGTAAAGGTTAATCGACCAAAAAATCAAGTGAAGGAGGGCGGCAAGTGCAAGTCAAATACTTGAAGGAATATGTTGTCCTCCAGCGGCGACGTGTGGAGGCTCTAGTCTGGCACTCACACAGGTTCTTCTCTACTGGCGCGGCGAGGGCTTCCTCCCAGCTCCGTCACGCTCCTCCTCACTCAGCTACACTTGCCACTTACAACGTTTCAAAGCTTCAGTTTTTACTGAGCAGTAATTATTAGACCAGAAATATGGTCTTCAAATGAGAACAGTTTCTTCACTCTGTCATTCTATTCCAGCTTGCTTCTGTCCTGTCCATATATCTCTTCTAATTGCTATGAAGTCATAATGACTTCATAGCATAATGACTTCCAAACCTAAATATTGTCTTGATCTTAATTTATCTCTTCTTAATTACAACGCAATATATATATAAAGGCAAAGAAAATAAATGGAAACGAGGTTGTTAATAACTATCAACACTTTAACAGAATAATTGTACTCTTGAGGTTGAAGTTAGTGGCCACATTACACTTCACTTGAGCAATATAACAGACTTCCTGCCGGCTATTTTGGGAGAGAACTGTGTAGTGGGTTGCCTAAGGGGAGACACTGGAATGACTAGCTTGTTAACATGTGGGTTCCCCCCTTCCCTAATCAACCGTATACATGACATGGTGTGTGTTACCTGGGTATATGTATATCCCAACGTATATATCAATTTACAAGAAAATGAATAATGCTATATACTGATATAAGATGTTTATTGTTGAAATGTTATTATTGATATTTAGGTATTTATTTGGCGTGGGGGTCTGAATGTCACCATGGCACGCTGTTCCCGTTTGAATTGTGGCGACTCCGACCAGCGTATGTTCATCCGGTACCACGCAAACAATCATTCTCTTGTATAGTATTGATATGGGGAACCCGGCGGTGTCACTGGGATCCCCCCCGCCCCCACTACTTGGTGCCCTACCCCGCTCTAGTCCTCCCCATCCCTGAACCCTCCACCCACCTGACAGTCCACTCGTCCTACCCCATCCCGCTCCACCCTTAATCCAACCCCATCCCCGCTCATCCCCCCCCTCCCCCTCTCTCTAATCGCGCCCATCCTCCCTCGCTCACTTAACACCTCTTTTCTTTCATAAAATATAATCCCCCTTCGTCCTCCCCACCACTTCCACTCATGCTTCCGAATCTCTCCCGTCCCCACCGATCCTCCTATTCCCCTTCCCCACCAACCCTCCTCTCCCCCCGTTTCCCCTAAGTACCCCATCCTTCCCTCCCTTCATCCATCCTACCCCCTACTTCCTCCTCCTCCTCCTCCTAATTCCTTCCATCCTCCATCCTCCTCCTAATTCCCTCCATCCTACTTCTCTTTCTAATTCCCCCCATTCTCCCCTCCCACCCCTCCCCTCCTTCCCCTCTCCTTCCCACCCCCATCCCCACTTAGCACTCTTCCCTTTCATAAAATAGATTAGTGTAATGAATCTACTGTGGTTGGATTTACAAAAATATTTTTTTTGACTAGAAAGTCTTCGGGCATCTCAACCACTATTTCACATATGAACAGAATTTAATCCGAGGGAATACCCCTTTAAATTTGGGTAAGGCTTGCTCCAAGCATGTGGCCTCCAACTTTGGACAGACAGACAGACAGACATACATACAAACATTCTCACTTATAGGTAAACATTCAGGGAGCTACCACCTATGGTTGAGAACGGGACCCATAGACTCGGAGGAAGCGATTTATAAAACATTAGAGAGAATTTGTTTAGTTCTCCACCAATGCCATTTCCATATTCCTTTTTCCTTACACCCCCCCCCCCTTTCCTTTTGTTTTGTTTTGCTCTATTAGACAATTTTAATACTTAAAAGGTACAAGTTGGTGAATACAATGAAAATTTAAGGGTTGTGAATCTCTTGTAGCACCTCGGCTTCCAGATGGGAACCTTAGGACACAGCAGGCATTTCCTCTCTGAATCCCTACACAGACGCATTGAAACTGAAAACTTGCGGCTCCTGGACACCTGGAAGTGTCAATGGGTCTACAGTCCAATTCTTTGAGAAAGCGTATGGCACGGTTGCCCCAGGGGACCAAGTGTCAGAAGTTATGGGAACACATGTGTACAGATATTCCAGATGCTTGTACTTTTTGGATTTTACTGCCTCCATATGGTTGGCTGTATCACTACCACATAAGGATATGTAGGTATCAGCCAGGGGAAGAGAGAGAGGTGTAGTCTAACACGAGCTGTTTAGTGTTCTTCCTGAGGTAAATTATGATACCATCTAAGCGAAACGCATAATTGTTAGCGTTGTGGGCCGTTGAGGTGAGGTGTTCCTCACATTTGGGCTATTTTGGGTGGAGTGTTCCAACGCTGTGTCAAGAGGAGTCCACATGTTTGACAACCAATCATGATGAATATTCACCAGAATTAGCGAAAGTAAAAGTCGTTGAGAAATCTCTGCACTTCTTTTTACCGTCTTAGTGATTATTAGCAGGTAAACTCAGATTATTTTAAGTGCATGAACAATGGGAATGGTTTTGCTGCCCATATTCTCCATCCACAACTCTCTCGCTAGCAACACGGGCCCAAGCGGGGCTACCAAGGAGAAGAACAATTTAGCATTACTGTTTCCTGGAAGTGAAGATTTCCAGTGGCCAATTTTTTATGTGTGATGATTTTGACTCGCGTGATGAACTGGCCAACGATTATCAATAAAAATCCTTTTGAGTCAATGGAGTGACTTGAACTTCTGATCTGGTGATTCCCAGACGCCTGCCTTAACCGACTCGGTCACGGTGGTACAAAAGTTGACCAACCCAGAAGTCTACTGAGTTTGCTGGGAGGTTTTGAAAGCCCCAAACCGGGGGCCCAACCAGGTTTTTACAGCCAACCCTACAACACTCGGGCCCACGGTATTGGCGTTCACACTCAAGAATGTGGGATGAGTTCTGGGTTGGTCATCTTTTGGACTACCGGGGGCATGGAGACTCAGGCTGACAGGGTCCGAATCCTTCAAGGGTCAAGTGTTTTCTGATTGTATATATCTCGAAACACAATATATATATAGATATAAATCTATGCAAAATGAAATCACATTAACGTGATGAGTCAATGATAATCGTTTGATAATCTCAAGCACACGCCATATACCACTACGCCACGACATGTTCAAAGCAATGCAATCTGGAATTGAACTGAATCCTCTAGGGGGTTCTGAGGCCTCAATGGGAGTCATGCAAACGAAAAACATAAGCAAAAAAAAAAAAACGAAAGAAAATTAAAAATTCTAACAGAAGCAAATAGAAAGCGGTCATATACAAAGCAGATAAACAAAACAAAGACAAAACATTTAATTATAAAAGAGAACCAAACAAAGGCGAAAGCAAATACAAACCAAAAATAAGAGCAAAAAAGACAATAAATTAAACAGTCAAAAAAGGATAACACTTTAAATAATACAATGGATAAAATGAATGCAAAGTTTAAAAAAATACAAAGGAAATAGAAACCAGTCC